TTGAAATCCCAAAGAGCTGCTGCCAATCAGTGAAGAGAAGACTCAGCTAGATGGACCCATAATCTGATTCAATGTAAGAGAGCTTTCAATGTTCCCATTCCATGTGTAGAAGCCAGGAAGGCAGGCAGGTACCAACAGGACAGCATCCACAATGGCACCAAAGGCTAGTAGGCTTGCTAGCTGTCTCCAGCACCTTGCCACCAGTCCCTGCTGCTCCACTCTGCCTAATGGTAGGGCTGGCCCTGCGGGGTTCTCACCGATGCCCTTGAAATGGGAGAAAAGCTTCCCACCAACACGGTACAGCTTGGCCTTTGCAACAGGGATTCTTTCGGAGTACGAGAAGTCTTTCCTTCGGCTGCTCCTCCACACTTCACCCCAGACACTTAATTAGTAGATATAGAACCACTCTTACAGATTAAGTCTCACTTTAACTGGTAGCTGACCAAGAACTTTGCAGCTTTTCTGTGGGTGTTGGGGTCCAACAGGGCAGGTACACATGGTCTTCGTGCCTGCTTCCTAGCTCTGAGATTCTCTTTCCTGGGAGCTCCTCCAAACCTGGTACATTTTCTCGATCCGACTGATGCAAAATGCTTTTACTCTGTGACCAGGGATAAGTACTGTTTCAACAGTGTGTGTGTGTGTGTGTGTGTGAGAGAGAGAGAGAGAGAGAGAGAGAGAGAGAGTCTTTTTGTAAGCCGCTTTTTCTTCCACAATCAAGCGGTGTATACATTTCATGAAATACCGGTAACTAAATTATGAAATCAATGTGCGTCTGCTTTAGGTGTGACACTACCTTGAAGCTGTCGCCGCAGGAAAAAACTATGGTCTCCGTAAATCAGGACACTGAGGTACTGTAGTATCTGGATGCATCCTTCGCCAGCCTGATGATCTCCGGATGTTGTTGGACTACAACTCCCGGCAATCCCATGGCTGGGCCTGCTGGGAATTGTAGTCCAACAACATCAGGAGGGCACCAGGTTGGCAAAGACTGAGCTAGAGTGCTTGGCTTTGACTAGGAGAGGCTAGGGGCTCACGTTTTCATGTCCCCAGGCAGTCTTGAGCAAGTCACAGGTCTGGTGTGGTGATAAAAACGTATGGCCCCCTCGTAAATTGTTTCCACCTCTTTGGAAACCAGGCGAGGGCTACAAAGGTAGCTTAATACATCCTGGAGCAGACATTTATCTCTCTCACACACAACTTTAGCACACTTTGTTAACTCTACGCAAATACATGGAATTGTTTGCAACATTGTCACGACTCCAAGCTTGTTGCAATCGCGCCCCAAGTAGATTAATACCAGGAACTAACCAGAAGAACAAGCGGGGGGAGAGAGATCATTTAAAAGCAGGAAGCTCAGGAGGAGCAGGCGAGGCAGTATCTTATGATTTATTCTCCGATCAAGCCATGAATTCTTCTCCTTATAAATATTTAAAAATATTTGGGTCAAACGCCACGGTTGGGACGGAGCGTAGCTGCTGACTAATCCCGAGTAGTTATACTGGCCTGTACGAGGTCAAAGCACTGTGCAAATATTTACCAATCGATGAGGTGCTCCAGTGTCATGTCTCAGCTGAAACTGTGGAATAAGAACCAAAGGCAGCGGTTTGAGGGAGGGAACTGGCGGGGGGGGGGGATGGATACACCAACTCCTTGAAGTCTCTGCATGGAGAGCACTGGTTGAATTCGGCAATTACATATATATCTGTATAGCCCATAGGTTCACCCCTAAGGGAGGAACTGTTACCCTGACTTTGCCAAACTTTACTGGCAGGGATGGAAGATCAGGGAGACTTTCTAGGTAGATCCTGTCTGGACAAGATTTCCCTGTATCCTCTGGGGCAGATGTCAAAGGTCTGAGGAGAGATCTGGGCGATCCAGTTTCTGCCGTGGCCAACCTGATTCAGCAATTGCGTTTCTTGGCTGCTCCTGTCCCTAAGGCCCTATGTGAGGGGCTTCCTGACAATCCACACAGCCCCTCCTATCCCTAGGGCCTGGTGTGAAGGGTTTAGTCAAAACCAGCCAACAATCCCCTTCCCTCACATGTATATAAATGTTGGGAAATAAAAAATAATTATGTGAGCCCTCAATTGCAGTAGTCCGGATGGAACCAGTTTGACTATCTCATTTGCTCTTCATGACCACATTAGCGGGGGGCGGGGGCGAGAATGATGGGTGGTGGAGAATGGGAAATGTTCCAGCGCTTTATTTTTCTGCAGAAAATTTCCTGTTTCAGAAGTTTGTTATTAACAATGAACGGATTCCCACTGCAGATATTCTATTAGGCAGTTTCAAAGTGTTTTTGCTTTGCTTACTGAAGTGGTTTTTCTGGGCTACATTTTCAGAACGAATATTTGTTCTTCCTTTCCCATGAAATCCATTCCAAGGAAGAACCCAACTATTCTGTTATTTCTTTGGTCAAGGTCTAATGCTCTTTCGTTATCAATATTTGCAGGGTGGTTCGCCGTATTAAGAAAAAGCACAATGGACTAGATGCGGACATATCTTCCCAATGGAGTCTGATCCCAAAGTGCATCTGGTGCCAGGAAAGGAGTTGAGGAAGAGTCACTTTTCTTTCACTTGCAGCTGCCCATACAACCTCCCCTGCTGCTCTGGAGGGTCCCTCACCTCCAAGGAAGATTTTCAATGGCAAGAGTAGACTGCAGAAAACTGGTGACAATTGACTTCCTCCTGAAGGAGCATCTCCACCCCCATCGCTCAGCCCAGACACTGAGGTCCAGCTCTGAGGGCCTTCTGGCATTTCCTTCACTGCGAGAAGTGAGGTTACAGGGAGAAGGCAAAGGGCCTTCTTGGTAGTGGCACCCGCCCTGTGGAACACCCTCCCACCAGATGTCAAGGAAATAAACTTTTAGATGACATCTGAAGGCAGCCCAACCAAAAGATACAATTAGTTCCCCCCCTGTTGTGTTTTAGGTGGGGCCTGATGAGCTTTCCCCCCCAATTTTCTTTCAAAATAGATGGCTTTTGTGGCTGAAATGTTGTTTTCACTGGCTGTGAGGATTTAAATTTTAAGAGGGGTTAGAAGGCAGAAGGACTTCTCGGTAGCAGCGCCTGTCCTGTGGAACGCCCTCTCATCAGATGTCAAGGAAATAAACAACTATCTTACTTTTAGAAGACATCTGAAGACAGCCCTGTTTGGGGAAGTTTTTAATGTTGGATGTTTTATCGTGTTTTTAATATTCTGTTGGGAGCTGCCCAGAGTAGCTTGGGAAACCCAACCAGATGGGCAGGGTATAAATAATAAATTATCATTGTCGTCGTCATCATCATCATCATCATACTCTAATAACTATTCTGCTCTTTCTGTTTTTTATCTATAATTGTAAATTTTGATGTTTTGATTTAAAAAAAAATCATATTCTGTAAGCTGCCTTAGAAATATGTTCATATTTTGAAAGGTGGCCCTAGAAGTCTAATAAGATCAAGCAAGGAAGCAGAACAACATGTACCCTCGGGCTTTAAAAGCAGAGACTTCCAGCTCACACACTTGAGTTTTAATGCACCCAGATCACAGTGCACACGAGAAGTGGCGTGTCCGCTATTTGAAACAAACCTGTGCAGATGCATTTCTATACAGCATGAGAGGCCGTTAAGAAATCTCAGTTGTCAGTTCCCAAAACACTCAGCTTAATAACTCCAAGACTGGGACTTGCGTAACATCACATGTGCTAAATATTTCCCATGAGCACAAGAATGTTACTGCTGACCATCTGCTGTCTTGCACAACCATTCCTGTTGTACGAGTGGTGGTGGTGGGAGGCGCACAAATGCTCTGTCAAGCCCATGACAAGAGAAGAGTCATCAGTCACATCCACACAACATTTTTCAAGCAGTCTTTTCAAGCATCTCCGCCCACCCCCCAAGAATCCTGGGTACGCAGACCAAGACCCTACCTGCCTGCACACAATCTCGCCAGAGTGGTGCATGCTCTAGTTATCTCCCACTTGGACTATTGCAATGTGCTCCATGTGGGGCTACCTTTGAAGGTGACCTGGAAACTACAACTAATCCAGAATGCGGCAGCTAGACTGGTGACTGGGAGCGACCACTGAGACCACATAACACCAGTCCTGAAAGACCTACAATGGCTCCCAGTACGTTTCCGAGCACAATTCAAAGTGTTTGTGCTGACCTTTAAAACCCTAAACAGCCTCGGCCCAGTATACCTGAAGGAGCATCTCCACCCCCCATTGTTCTGCCCAGACACTGAGGTCCTCCTCTGAGGGTCTTCTGCTGGTTCCCTCATTGCGAGAAGCGAACTTGCAGGGAACCAGACAGAGGGGCTTCTCGGTAGTGGCGCCCACCCTGTGGAACATCCTCCCACCAGATGTCAAGGAAACAAACAACTACCTGACATTTAGAAGACATCTGAAGGCAGCCCTGTTTAGGGAAGTTTTTAAAGTTTGAAGGTTTGTTCTGTTTTTAATATTCTGTTGGGAGCCAATCCAGAGTAGCTGGGGAAACCCAACCAGATGGGCGGGTATAAATAATAAATTATTATTACTACTACTACTACTTGGAATTGTAGCATTGTGAGGGGTTCCCCAATAACTCACAGCACCCTTAACAAACTACAGTTCCCAAGATTCTTTGTGGGGAAGCAATGACTGTTAAAGTGGCATAAGAATGCTTTTAATGGATGGTGTGGATGCGATTTATCATCTCTTGAAAGTAAAAGCAGGGCTGACAACAAAGTTCAGACCCTCACCTTAAACCAGGACAGCGCCTAGCCTTTTCTGTGCTACCACAGGCCTTGTCTGCTGCTGTTGCTACTTTGGCCGGGCAACTGAACACACCTAATCTGGCTATAAATCAATGGAATAAGTTTAAGGGTTCTATAGGCTTGGGAATTACATTTACAAAGTGGTTGGAAACTGAGCTTAGCTCCCATTCAAAAGTAGCACCACCTCCTGCCACTGACGAGCATTCAGGGTCCTCTCCACAGAAATCTTTAGTAAAAGGCAAAAGATTGATACAACCTGAAGAGAAACCAGAGTTTATGTGTTAGGAAAACAATGTTATTTATATACAGTATGTACATAATAATGTATGGAAGTGCAACTGATTGTATTTAGTGTATTTCTTCCTTACTGTATTTTTTTGCACTTATTCTCACTCTTTCTTTCATCACTTACTTTCTACAACAACTGAATTCTTTCAATAAAATATGAAACTATTAAACGGTAGAAGGCTACACTTGGAAAGGTTGCAAATACCTTACGAAGGTATCGTGTGCACATTAAAAACAAAATGAAAGGACAACATAAAAATGCTAGAGTATAATCATTAAGATAGCGATAGCTGGGTGACTTTGAAAGGTGATGTTTGCAATACTCTGTTCTTGAAAACAGCACGAGGTAGGGGGCTTCAGCCGACACCGAACTGGGTAGAAGATGCATTCCTTCCCCAAACTTGTGAACGTGATCTACAAGAAGGTGCTGGCTAAGAGACACAGCTGCAAGGCAATAATTTCCTGGTTGTGATCATCCTTTTGCCATGACTCATTAGGGGGACTTAAGCAACACACTGTCAGTTATAGCCCTCCAGTTCACAACAGAAAAATAATAATTCAGACCCAAGTCACAGGGTTACTGTAAACATTACTGAGACAAAGCACAGCTATAATAAATCCAAGGTGTTAAGTCTTGCTACATCTTTTTGCAAAAGATCCATAAAGCATATCACAGTCTCCAGGAGGGCTGCACCATGGCTCCATGGCAGAGAATATGTTTTGCACCTGAAAGATTCCAGGCCCAATTCATGGCATCTTCTGGTGAAGTGGGGCAAAGTTTGAATGTAGCAATAAACATCTGAATCCCAAACTGTGCATCAAATCAAGACAGCTGCATAAACCATGGTTTGAAGTCAGCATGTTTCTGTAAACCGTAGTTAAGAGTAATGGCATTTCATCTGGTTTCAGACATAATGCTAAACTGGCCTACTTTAAGCAATGACAAACCTAGACAGCATCTTAAAAAGCGGAGACATCACCTTGCCGACAAAGGTCCGTATAGTTAAAGCTATGGTTTCCCCAGTAGTGATGTATAGAAGTGAGAGCTGGACCGTAAAGACGGCTAATAGCCAAAGAATTGATGCTTTTGAATTATGGTGCTGGAGGAGACTCATGAGAGTCCCATGGACTGCAAGAAGTTCAAACCTATCCATTCTTAAGGAAATCAGCCCTGAGTGCTCCCTGGAAGGACAGATCCTGAAGCTGAGACTCCAATACTTTGGCCACCTCATGAGAAGAGAAGACTCCCTGGAAAAGACCCTGATGTTGGGAAAGAGGGAGGGCACAAGGAGAAGGGGACGACAGAGGATGAGATGGTTGGACAGTGTTCTTGAAGCTACCAGCATGACTTTGACCAAACTGCGGGAGGAAGTAGAAGAGAGGAGTGCCTGGTGTGCTCTGGTCCATGGGGTCATGAAGAGTCGGACACGACTAAACAACAATATATATATAAAGAAGTGAATGCACTACACCAGAGGAGAGGGAAAACGTGTGCATGAACTCATGGCTCAGGGTAATTAACAAAGCAGTAAACCATAGTTTATCACTGCATTTGAATGCAGCCGGGTTCGCTAGCCAAGAAGAGCTGCTAGTCATGGCAGATAATCCTAGGCTAGATGGCCCAATAATCTTCTGCAATGTAAAGTAACCTCATGTGTTCTGCAGATGAGGCAATCCTGAGAGATGTTATCATGCTTTTGTGTTATAACATGGTTCTAGGGGGAAGTATTCTTCCTCATTACCCTCAGGATAAAACAGGCAGAGTTCTTTATAAGTTTCAAATGCAAGGCTTTAATTTACGACTCGGAGCCACTACAATACAACTCTACCATTTTAGGATTTGGGATGGTTTTCTCTTCGGTCCCCAAATTATATTAGATGCTGAAGGCACCCAGTTATGTCTGAAGGCCAGACCACTGCTCAGGGTCCTGGGCAGTGGCTTCTTCAGTGGGGATTTTCTGGGCCCAGTTCTGCAACTCACAAATAGCTGAAGCAAGATCCAGCACAGCTGCTGCAAATTCCAGGTTTTCAGCACTTACGATAGAACACACTAATGCAACAACTCCAGCTCAAAGCCTGGCCAACGAATTAAGATCCGCCAAAACAAAAGCAAGAGGCTTTCCGAGAAAGCAAGGGTTTGGCGGTGAATACAAATGGATTTATTATTGTTGTTATTTTAGTCTGAAAGGGAAAAAGCAGCCAGTTTGGTTGCAGCCCTTAGTTCCTTTCCATGCTTGCTTTAGAAAAGGAAGCTGACGGCGCTTTCCCAAGACTTGCAACCTTCAAACGGCCCTTAATTCATGCAAAGGAACTGGAGCACGGTTAAAAACAGCTGCTCCTCGGCTTTGCCGAATTGGCCAAAGAACAGCAGCAATCCCACGGAAAGAGCAAAGGCGGCCTTACGTAAGAACTTAAGCTCCACGTGGGAAGAAACCCACTGCTTTCAAGGGTAGCGGTACATGTGCTTTATTAGTCCTTTCCTCATAGCCCTGATGGGTTAGACCTGCCTACCCAACAACGCCAGGCCTGATGGGCAGCTCCATTTAACTCTCCCTTGCTTCTCTAAGGCAGCAGCAGCAGCATGAAACCTGCACCATGCCCATCGCCTTGGATTATTGGCTGCACCGGCTGGGGCTGACGGACAGCCACGGGCTCCCTTGACCCTGATATAAGGAAGTGTATTGCGCCGAATTATACAACTGCTCCATAGCATCATAGCCTGCTATGTGTAAAGGAGATGCTGTACCACAGAGCGATGCTCATCTAGATCAACCATGCATTTGCTTTATATTTTACAGGTACTCGCTTAGGAACTGCACCCTGCTGGGCACATTTCGGACACTTCTCTGCAGCAAAGCAACCACCTGACACAAGAAATGTGATTATTACTGACTAGTGAAGTGCTTGACATTGCAACAGGTAGGGTATGGCAGTAATTGTCTGATCAGTGAGTAGATGGGAGACTCCTTGGGGAGTCTCCATAGAAGCCAACGCCAACCTGTCCAGCCTCCCACCCCCATAATTTTATTCAAGTTGGTACCCCTGTTGGGGACCGGTAAGTACGCTGCCTTGCGATAAACTAATGGGCCTGACTCAGTATAAAGGCGGCATCCTATGTCCCCAAGTTCCTCCTTCCTTTAGGCTCCTTTGGGCAAACTTCTTGCCTCTTCTGCACAACACTTAATGCCCAGAATCTTTGAAACCTCCCCTACAGCTTATACCTTGGGCTGAGTTCCCACTTCCCAAAGATACAGAAAATCTTTATGATGCTTTCCCAGAAACACATACGACTGCAAGTGTGTTCTGCAGGCAGCTTTCAGCCTTAGGAATCCTTATACCAACAGCCGTGATAATCTCCCTTCACCGTGTTATGGTGAAAATCCAGAACTCTAAGGCAGCAAGTTGTGGAAGGCTGAGCTGAAATGTTTTCTTTAAAGTGCATGGAACTATTCTTCATTATGGCCTGAGATCTAACTAGGGCAGATCCACATTCCACAGCACACATTTACGGTGCATTCAATACATGACTTCTCCCAAAGAATCATGAGAACTGTAGTTTCTCCCCAGACCTACGGTTTCCAGCATTTTTAATAAACTAGTTCCCAGTATTCTTTGGAGACATGTGCATTAACTGTATGGTGCTGTTGGACTCGAATTCCAATGGTGCTTCAGAACGTACTCCAATGCAGCTCCCCTTACTGACAACCTAAGGCTGCTTTCCTTAACCTGCCACCCTCCAGATGTTCTGAACTACAACTCCCACCAGCCCCAGCCAGCATGGCCAGTGGAACTGATGGGAGTTGCAGTCCCAAACATCTGAATGGTGCCAGGCCAGGGAAGACTGCAAAGGTACAAAAGGCCGTACCTTAATGGAATTTCATGGCATAGTATAGACCATGATTCTTTTGCCATAAGAATGCAGCATTCCAAACTTCCTACAAGAAGCTAGATGCACTGGACGTCACCATAAGGCAGCAGGAAGCTGATACACCTGGGCCTGTTTTACCTGCCTCTGCTAATTCCGATATATCTTAGCAACGCATGCAAGTGTTAGAATGGTTTCAAGAGCAAACAATTGGTTCTAAAATATCTTCGTGGCACAGGCTGCAATTTGACCACCAGTACTGATCTTTTTAGCGCACACCACAAAAATAGCTGAACGCTAGACCAAATGTGTGTAATACGAAACAGCTGCTTTTCTGGCTTCACATCCCAATCAGGAAACACCAAACTGTGCTGCTATGACTCACACCCAGCGCCTGTTAATGAAAAGGGCTAGAAGATAGAATACAGGCTGCAGGGGAGAGAATAAAACCGTCCCAGATCAGGTATTTAGGCAGTTACATTTTGTTTTTTAGGGGGAAAGTTTGATTTTCAATATCTAGTGCTGTACTTAAGAGACCAGGCTAAAATTCTCCCAAGTCCATGGTTTGAATTTGCCTCTGTTATGTGCCATACAGCTAAGGCATTGTCTTGCTTGGGTCCATTTACATGATGAGTATAATTCTGGTTTCCCTTAAAGGGTTTTTGTAATGACATAATCTACAGCAGGGGTGGCCAACTCCCAAGAGACTGCGACCTACTCAGAGTTAAAAGCTGGCAGTGATCTACCCCATTTTGGGAGGCTTCAAGTCAAAATTGTTGAGCTGAGCTTTTTTTTTTAGGGAGAAAGCCTGTTTTTTAGGGGTTCAGGTCATATTGGGCTTTTTTTTAGGGAGGAAAGCCCTGTTGAGCTTCTTTGGGGGGAGCCAGTGGTCTACCACAGGCATCCAATGATCTACTGGTAGACCACAATCTACCTGTTGGACGTGCCTGATCTACAGTATGTGAAGCTCTTTTATTCATCTAAGGAGCTACACAAATTAATGAGCACTATTATAACACACGCTTGTTTCAGGGATAGAAGGAATGCAATTTATTACTACTGCAAAAGTCAAATCCAATAGATGGCAAACTTGCCCACAATCAAGGTGAATGCAGGCACAGGTATGCACATTCTGCATTCCCCAGCAGGCAGAAACAGAACAAGCATTGGGGAATTGTCAAGCACAGCAGACCCCAATACTGCCTGCATTCCAAACTGGTGCCACAGGTCATGAACGCCTGAAAGGCAGGGGTAGTCAACATGGTGCCCTCCAGATGTTATGGAATAGAAGTCCCATAAGCCATGACTATTGGCCATCTTGGCCAGAGCAACACATCTAGAGTCCACATCCATAGGGCACCATAGAGATGCTGCTTGCATAGGTATTGGGTTCATTGCATACACTTGCATGCAAATATTATAACAGCACCATTGCAAACCAGAATGCCAGCTTCTAAACTTTGTAAAGTTTCAAGCAAGTTCTGTTTCTTAGCTTTTCCAGGAAGGTGTCTATGCCTGTCACCAAGGCCTCCTATAAAAATGACTGTCTAATTACCCAACCACCAAATACTAATCTATAGAAACCACAGCCACAAAACCAAAGGCCAGAGTCTCTCTCTGAAATAATGGGAACTGCCTTTGGTGGCATGCCTACAGACTAGCAATGAGCGAACATTAATTTCAGTACTTAAAAGTCAGTCCCGAGCTTTGTTCAACATGTGGGTAGCAGCACTGCATTCTAGCTAGCATTTGTAGATGTCCTGGCAGCACTGCAAGGCCACATTAACCTTAAGGCAGGCAAAAAAACAAAACCCGAATAATCATAGGGAAATAAATGCATTTCAAAGTTTGTGGAACTTATTAATGGAGATGGGGTGAATAGGTTTACTAACTAATCAAGCTCTGAAAAAGTAAACATTCAACATAGCAAGCATTTTGGGCCAAATTCTCACAATGGCAGATGTTTTGTACCTTAAAAAATTGGGCTTGCCCAATCATAAGTTTATCCTTCCCAGAGTTCCCTGGTAGCATTCCTTTTTTCCCTTATGCTAGCTTTCTATGGAGGAAATGTTTTTGTATGGATGCATTCTTGATTAGCAATTGGTGAGTTGGGAGAGCCTGTGATAGAATAAACATGTGTTTGTCTTTAACCTTCCATTTGCAAGAACTAAACAAAAATCCTACTTAGGGAAACATGCAGTGCTTTGTTGTTTAAGCAGCATTGAACTTATCCAGCTAAACTTCTGTGTTGTTACAAGGAAACATATTTTGAACAGGAATCAAGGATGAGCTGTGTATTATTCCCATTCATCATTTCCTCCTGCTCTCCAGGCAAAGTTATATTCTATTGTTGACTTCCTTTATACTAATAAGCTGAACACTTTTTTTAAAAAAAAACAACCAGCAGCTCCAAAGGAAAGTCAACTTCTCTCCTCCTCCCCCCCCCTTCAAAAGTTGGATGTATACAGGACTGTGTGTGGTTTGAAATAGTACCTTGGAACCTTCTGGAACAAAAGTTTATTGGTTTTGGCAGCCTCCCAAGTATTTCTGCAGGAATGGAGCGATTCTGCAGTTCAAAACCAGGTTAATCTGTAGCTAAGACACCATACTGATAGGGCAGAACTAATAAAGAACCACCACCTTGCAGACATTGGCTTTTAATAGCTTGGGATTTTTTTTTCCTCAAGAGTTTTTATTGGGAGAACTACAAAACATTTACAGTACAAAGTTTACAGTCTCGCACTCCAAATTTGTAGTGAACTGACTCTCCAAAATATATTACAACTCAAGTTGACTTATCTTCTAGTTACATTCAAAACATACTTCTTATGTTAAAGTAGTCCAAAGAGTACATAGTGCTGAATCTGTACCTATGTACGTTTTCTTTTCTTTTTTTAATTAAAAAAAAAAAAGGTACTGCTCATTCATCCATTCACCCTCCCATGAAAGTTTTGTATAACTCCTGACTTTTTTTTCCAAACAAAAAGTTTCATGTTTTGGAACTGTAAAAGATATGATCCTGAACACATTTACAGGTTCAGGTCCCAAATGTGGCCTCCTTACTTATACGAGTGGTACAATTTCATGTAGTTAAAACCCCCAGCCCTACATTCAAATTCTCAAGCATTAAGAAAATACTCATTTGGTTGAGGAAGATTTAAGGCAAGCATGGACCCTTATGAAGGCACTGTGGGACGTAATACTGGGCTCCCCCCTCCCCCCTCTTTATTGCTACATACTTTTTAACTATCACAGTGTGATTGGTGAAGTTAGGCAACACGAATACTTTTTGGTTAATTTTAAAAGTTTGAATTAGGTTTTGCCACTTTAAATTCTGATTGCAAAGTAGGTTTAAACTTGGACGGGTTACAACCATTGTACATTCTAAAAAAAACACAACCCATTGAAATTTCTCAAAACTACTTCCACAGCATTGAGTCAGATTTCTATATAAAAAAAGGCCAATGCAATCTTTCAATTTACGTAAACAAGGAAAGAAATTAATGAAATAAATATTACATACAATCTCTTAAATTAAGAATTTTACTCATTTACAATAAAATAACCAAGTGAAGTTACAAAAAGGCATATATTACTGTGAAAAGAACACACTCCACATTTTGCCGATTAATAATGGCAATCATAATTTAAACATAATAAAAGAATATATATCTATTGCTTTTCATCATACCCGATAAATACAGTATGAACAAATTACCAATGTATACTTTTCACAAGATAATAAATAAGTTAAATAGTTTCATATTGAGTTGTGCAGTGACTTGCGCAATCAACTCAGCTAAAAAAAAATTAAAAAATCAGCAGTTATTCTCCAACAATTACAAACTAAATTCAGTTGAATGCTTCCAAATAAAGCAACAAAAAAATTGTTCTAAGCCAAACATCCACTAAGTGGTGGCAATGGAACCAATATTAAACTTTGGAATGGAAGTTTTAGCATGTTATAATATATATAAGATATATATAAAAAAACTAGAGTGTTATCAAGGCATATTCTTGGCAGGATGTTGGATTTTTCTTTTAAAAGCTTATACATTTAGTATATTTACTTTAAATTTGATTGAAAGGCAAAAAAAACCCCACACTCCTTACTTTAAATTCTTTTTTTGTTGTTGTATAGCGATCTGGAGGGACCTGGAATGCAGAGTTCATAGGCCTCCAGAATGATTGTTGATTCCTGGGGGAGTAGGATTGGGCAGAACTGTTTGCTAATGCTTATTATTACCCTTTGTCTCCTCCCCTCCCCATAAAACACACTTGGAAGATGGAATGGCTGCTGCTGGTGGTGCACATTTATAACCTAGTCTAAAAAGAGGGGGCGGGGAGGAGAAATCCTCTCCTTCCAGTCTCTTTAGATATATAAAAATAAGATTGTTCTCTTGATGACATCATTTGCCCTTTCACAAACTGGCATTTGTTCAGCTCTTGATAAGGGGGGGGCAGGGGGAAGCTTCTTTTTTTCTGTCTCCTCTCTGAATTTGCTCAGCAATCAAAAGGATTTCTCTTGCTTAAAAAGGAACACACAAAAAAGTGTGGGGGAGAAAACAGAAAAGGGTCTGTGCGAGTTTGGCTAGTATCTGGAGGCTGCTGCAGTCTCTGCTCCTGGTGAGAAGGCAGGGAAATAATAGGGGGCATTGAAGGGGGGAAAGGGGGTAGCTTGCCCAACGAGGGACCCTCCCTTCAAAAAAAAAGCAGGGGTCCCCAAGGATTGACAACCATAGGACACCTGCCCTCTGCGCCCCCAAAGTCCCACTTTCTCCTGGCGCCTCCTTAGTCGTCGGAGATGGAGAGGCGGCTGAAGATGGGCAGGCGCCTGCCCGAGTCCAGGCCGGGCGACTCCGAGCCGCTCAGGCTGCCCGAGCTGAGGGAGCCGCTCAGGTAGCTCTCTCGGTCGGACAGGGAATCCGGAGGGCTCGGCGGGGCGTCGAAAACGGGCGACTCGGAGAGGCGGCGCAAAGGCTGGAAGGTGAAAGGAGGCGAGGCCGGAGGGCCGGGCGGCGGGCAGCAGTTCCCGCCTCCTCCTCCTCCCGCCCCGCCGCTGCCGCCTCCTCCTCCGCCCGGCTGCTGGTGGCAGCGGTAGAAGGTGGCGGCCGCGTTGGCGAAGGGGGGAGGCGGCGGCGGCGCGTGGAGGGCGAGCGGCGCGATGAGGCTGCCCAGCTCCTGGCCCGCCGAGAAGGCGAAGGCGTTGTTGGCGCACGGCGGGGAGGCCACCAGCTCGTCGCAGTACGAGCCGCCCGAGGAGCGCGCAGGCGGCGGCGTGCGAGACCCGCCGGGGCTTTCCAGGAGCAAGGCTGCCGCCGCGGCCGCGGCCGCCGCCGCTTCCAAGCCGCCCGGCGCCCCTCCGTGGTGGTGCTGGTGGTGGTGCGCCGAGAAGCCGGAAAAGCTGAGGCTGTGGTGCAGTTTGGGCCTGTCCCCTCCTCCTCCGCCTCGAGGGTGGGGGATGCCGAAGCCGCCGCCCGCCAGCGGGTGGTCGCGGGCGGAGGGCGCGAAGGCGCGCAGGTCGCCGGTGCTTCCCGCGTGCGGCGGGTGCAGAGGGTGGTGGTGGCCGCCGCCGCCGCCGCTGTGCGTCGGGGGCGGCGCGCTGGTCTGGTGGGGCGGCGGCTGGTGCTGCGGCGTCGCGGGGTTGGCGCCGCTGCCGTTGGCGGGCGCAGGGCGGCGCTCGTCGGCGTTGTGGATGAAGTGGCAGCGCGGCCCGTAGGGGCAGAAGCCGATGGTGTGGAAGGTGCGGCACAGCTCCGTCTTGTACTTGGGGTGGCGCGTCAGGCTGCGCAGCTCGTGGAAGCCGTGCGCGAACTGGCACTTCTCGCCGTACTTGCAGGCGCCGCTCTCCTCGAAGGGCCGGCACAGCTCCGTCTTGTAGCGCGTCGAGTTGATGGGAGCCCCGCCGCCGCCCCCTCCGCCGTTGCCATTGCCGCCGCCGCCCTTCCCCGCCGAAGAAGCCGCCACCACCACCACTTGCTGCTGCTGGAGCTGCTGCATGAGGTGTTGGCTGCGCTCGCCATTCTCGCTGAACGAGCGGTCTCGGAACTTGTTCTCCTTGTTCAGCAAGGCGGTGGTGGGGCTGCTGCTCCCTCCGCCGCCGCCGCCGCCTCCTCCTCCTCCGGTGCCAGGCTCCTTGAGGCCGCCGAAGGAAGAGGGCGAAGGCGACGGCGAGCCCGCCGGGAACTTGGCGTTGCCGTTAGCCAGAGCCTGCAGGTTGCTGGTCGAATGCCTCCGCAGGAAGCCCGGCGCGAAGTTGGAGCTGGGCGAAGTGCCCACGGGGCTCCCCACCGCCTTCTTGTCCAGCATGCTGCTCAGGGATTTCTCGGTCTGGGAGCCAGAAGGGAGGGTGGGGGAGAAGGGGAGAACGGGGCAGAGAAGGGAGGGAGAAAGAAAAGAAAAAGGGGAAAAAACGGTGCACCGTGACTGCCGGGAGCCTGGGGAAAGGACAGGGGCTTGCAAGTCTCCAGCACCTCTCTCTCGCTTTTCTGCACCAACCACAAGGGTCTTTCCTCAGCGGAATCGCCCAAGAGGAGCCCCCGCCAGCTCCATTCGCGTATCCATGCGGTCTTGGTTGTCAAGGCTCCCTCCCCTCCCGCTCCAAGCAGCTATCTGCAATTTAAAACTTTTCGAGGGGTGCTCCGAAACCCCTCCCACCAATCCGGAGGGGCTGCACGAAAGAGTTCCGATTCAACACAGCCGGACCTTGCAGTAGCAAGCTTCAGCTTCCACACATTTGCCATGGCAGTTTTTATTTTAAAACACACCCACCCCACACGTACACTGGAATAATCACAAGGAAGATAAAAGCAAACAACAACAACTGAGCACAACAACAGGCACTCCACTGCAAATATGCCCTTCTTCGCTGTCACCTCCCTCCACTACAAAGCGAAAGGCTACAAGAGATGCACGAGCAACAGGGAGCAGCAGGTTCCCTGGGAAGTTACTGAGAGCCGAAAAGTTTTAATCTTCCCCCTCGCAACTTGTTGCAGAACAAAGCCGTTCCTGCAGCTCGTTCCTCTGCATGCTTAGCAGTGAGTCTGTCCCACGGGGTTCAAGCGGACTCGCTCCCAAGTAACCGTGCACAGGATTGCAGCCTTGGACAGGGTCTTTCTGCAAACCAGTTTTGCGCCAAAACTTCTCTGAACTATTTCTGCTCCCTGGTAGAGAGACAAGAGCGCGAGCTTCCCTGCCCTTACCTTGCACAAGAAGTCGATGTCGTAGAAGGCAGATAAGAGTGTTGTAGACATTTCTAGATCCTGTAATGGTCGGAAATGCAGGAAGGACCGAAAGATCCCACTTTCCTCGGAAGCTTTGGGTGAGCCACGACTGGATAGGAAAGGGCGGATTGCTTGAGAGCTGAAAAAGTCTATATAATCAATTTCCCAACCGAGATGGGGAAGCGGGTGCCCAGCCAAAGCGCCGGCCGCAGCTATCTCGAGTGCTGGAACTCCGCGACTGCCGTACACGCCCCATATATAAACGCCAGGACAGCGGGGAGGGACCCAACACTGACCCGGCCGGGGTCTCCCAGCAACAGCACCCAGAGGTTCCCCTCCCACCCAGCCTAGCCCTGCCTCTTTTGTCTCGGCGCTCCTTCTCATTGGGCGCCGCCAATTTTCTTTCAGCGGCCGGGAGAGGAGGGTGGGGCAAGTTGGAGAAGTGATCCAGAAGGGATTGCGGGAGGTTTCGGGAAGAGTCGCGTTCGCCAAAGAAAGTCTTAAGGCCGCGCAAAGCGATCGGTTCCCCCCAGTCCTTGCTGTGCTAGGCACGCGCTGGAGGCTCGCTGGCTCGCATAGAGAAGGTACTGTTCCCGCTCTATAAGCGCGGCCAGTATACGCAGTCAAGGGTGCAAGTTTACTTTTCTCATCGGAACATGCACCAGGGAAGACATCCTATAAGGCTGGCTTATTTTGCACAATGCATTCTGTATACAAAAGGCTTGCTTAGTTATGGGCGGCGCAGTTTCCGCGAGGCTTGCAATAAACGCCATGTGCACAGGAAACTCCCATGAGGTTAACCGCCGGCAAAGCACGAACGCAGTTCGCTCGAGAATGCAGCGTGGCTCCTGCACCTGCTGAGCCTCAAGTCTGTAGTATGAAGAGGAAGGGGTTTCCGCAAGGCTTGTGCGCCGAGACCGCAGCCCCTGTGCACGTTGAACTCAGCGGCGCTTACTTTGAGTAAACACGCATAAGCTCGGGTTGCAGGGTGCTTGCATCACGTGGGTGAATTACGAAACAATTGCTACTTGACAAAAGGTCTTTGAGCAGCAATGCATGTTAGCTCGGTGTCTGCACCCAAAGTGCAATTTTCTGCTGCATCATGCAGCACGGTGCGTAAAGACACGATTGCACTCCAGGTCTAGGCAGCGTTGACGTACCCCCCTGGCCATGCTCTCTCCAGATTGGGTTTTTCCCCCACCACTCCGCGCGGAGGATCAGCCGCCCTCTTTGCGCGAAGCCCGCCCAGCTCCTTGCACGGCTCGGAAGTTTTCAAGTAAACACACGCTGGCATTGGGCTTTCCTGCCAGTTTCACACCCCCGCTGAGCCGTTCGGGAAGCTCGCAGCGAAGCATCAAAGGGCCTGGGAGTGAAATGGGACGCCCCTACAACTCCTCCTCTTCCTCCCGCCCAATCAAGGGACCTTGTGCCACGCAACAGGTTTTGGGAACAAAGGCTGCCCGCCTGGCCGTGTAACTGGCTGGACGGCACCACCGCTGCCCGCTGGGGTGTGTGATGTTTGCAAGAGAAAGAAGAAAGGGCGCTTTAACTCCTCAGCTGCTGGGTTCCTTGTTGCTCAAGAGAAGCCCCAGCCCGTGCGACCGTCCCGCTGCCGACTAGTTCCCAGACTTGGCAGCCGCTCAAGGTCTTGTGATCCGATTGGCGCAGCCAGCGCCTCGTCCTTTGACACACAGCCTCAAACTCCCCGCTCGCCGCTGCGCCTGGCCAGGGGAGGGCCAGGCTGACGCAGCACAGCTGCGGGACCGCGCGCCGGCGCTCGCCTTGCCCAGCCCCACCCCTTGCCTCTGGACCCCCGCCAAAAAAGAGGGAGAGCTGCGCAGCCTCCCCCTTCCACCTCCCCAAGTCCCTCCGCCGCGGCAATGAAGACTCTCCACACTTTGGTCCCGGTTAATGAATTCAAGCCGGTGGCTTGGAGAGCTTGGAATGCGCGCGCCGATCGGTTCCGCGCGCGTTTGCTGGGGGAAGTACAGGGGGACGCGCAGCGCAGTAGGAAGGAAGCCCCACGGCGCGCAACGGGGCGCGCTCTTCCCAGAGCAAGTGCGTCCGCCCCATCTGGAACTCGCTTTGCCTACCAAGCACTGCGTAATTCGGCCCCTCTTTGGCGAAGGCCGACTCTCATCGCTCCTTTACTGTAGCAGCGGGGGAAAGCTCCCCCACTCGCAGACCAGCTCAGCATCTTACGCAAGAACAAGCGAGCCTGGCCTGTGCGCATTGACAAGCGAGCTCGACCCAGTTCCCAGCGAAGGACAGGCAGGCTTAGGGGTGGATGCAGGAAGGACTTGTTGCCGTCGGAGCTGCGCTTACTCGCGCCTAGGCGCACCACAATGCCTGCATCCACTGAGCGCCGGGCTGCATCCATGTGGGGAGCAAAGCGGAAAGTGTCAGGCGCCCCGACCTCCTCCCCCCACCCTTTTCTTGCCCTTGACTGGTTTACAAAGGCGAGGCCGCCGTTTGATCTTCCTTTCAAGCGGCTGCTTCGGAAGATGCGGCTGTGCGGCGAGGCTCTCCAAATCCAGGGGCGCGCTAGCCACCAAGCTGCGCCCACTGGCAGGCGAGTTGACGGCTCTGCCCGCCCACCGCGTCCATTTGGTGCCCTGCTACCTCCTTACGGGAGGCGGCCGCTCCGCAAGCGCGTGCGTGTGTGTGCGCGCGCGCACCGCCCCAAGGCTACAGCCTTGGCTCCTCCTCCTCCCGTTAGTTCGGCTCATTCCCACCCGGAAGCGCCGCTCCTGCAAATCGGGGGCGGCCGGGCGGGGGGCGTTTCCAGCAACTCTCGGAGCGGAATCGCCGCGTGCAGAGAAAAACCTTCTCCACCCGCACAAATAAAGCGAGTGGAAGCTCGTTTTGGGGAGGCTCCGCAGCTCTCCCTCGGCTCTGCGCCGAGAAGGAAGTTTGGAAAACAAAAGCCCCCAGGCGAGGGCGCGCAAGCAGGCGCCCCAAGCGGTCGCTGGTCCTGCGCCACGGCAGAAAAAAGGAAAACAAATCCTCGCCCTCACCTTTCAGACTAATCTCTTTGGCAATTGCAACGCTTTGCGGCTACGGCCGAGGAACTGCATTGCCAATCCAGAAGTGGACGTGACAAGTTGACATGCGGGCCAGAAATAGTTCCTGAAGGAGGCGGCCACCCCCTAGCGCCTGCATCCCGTAAGAGGAACGCAGCCTTCGTTTATTGAGGAAGCGCGTCGAGGGAGGGAGTTGGGTTTAATCTTAGTTTCTCAACTTGCAAAAGAAAAGGCCGTTCCACGAACCCCAACGTCCCAGGATCTTCACAGCTGAACTATTGTTATCTGCCACCCCTTGGGTCTACTCAGAGTGACATAATAGCATCTCCCACTTGCGGGAAGGGGGGACGAAATAAGCGAACAATTTTGACCTAAGCTCTGGCTTCAAAGTTGAGAATTCCCCTTCACTTAAAATAAATAAGTAAGTAAGAAATACTTGCAGCCAGGCAAAGATCAATCTATAATCAACAGTTAGCCAGGCCAATACTTAAGATAACCGACCCCGATTAAGTACTCAACGGACAGCTACTCTGGGATAGACTTTTGTTCTTTTACAGCTGCTGTTTAAGGTTTAAAGGTTTCTGATTGAAAAGTTACACAGTAACTCGTGGTGTGATGAAACGCATACAAGATCATGTACCATTATTTGCTATCTATAAACTAAAGGGATATTACACAGCTTAAAGCCATACAGCGATAAGGCTGTTTCTTTCTTGCAGCTCTTTTGTTTATTAATTAACCGCCTTTCAGGGGTTTCCTAATTCTACTTAAGCTGAAACCACTACGGCCCTTTCCCATTTTGTCAACATCTTCAACAATGCCAAGTGTAGCCAAGGTTTGCTGATTATATGAAAGTTTAATGCTCACAGCCTACTATTAAAAGTTACGTGAGTACAAAGTTAAGTGACACTTAAAAAGAGGGAGGTGAAACAGCAATTCTAAGTAACAGAATTGGTTCAACAATTAATACTTTATGGCTTTTCAAATAAAATGTATTCGGTCAAAGAAAGTGGATATACTTCAGAAGTATGATTAGAGTGAATTTTCGTATATTTCTGCATGGGTAAGTGGCCAAGTGAGATTTGCTTCACGTCTGATAAGGCAATGACTTCATTCCAACAAAACATGGTTAGGACAGGCTGCCAGATGGTGGTATTTGTACCTTGCCCATCTGATTGGGTTGCCCCAGCCACTCTGGGTGGCTTCCAGCATATACAAAAACATAATAAAACATTGAACATTAAAAACTTCCCTAAACAGGGCTGCCTTCAGATGCCTTCCAAAGATTGCAGAGTTACTTATCTCATGGACATCTGATGGGAGGGCGTTCCACAGGGAGGGTGCCACTGAACTGTAAACTAGTACCTGTATAGACAATATTGCTACTGATGAGCCAATACTGCTGTTTTCTACAACTGTTCAGGTTCCCTTTTGGTGATGGGGGGAATGTTTTGTGAAATTTTACTGGGGGGTAGAAGAGTGAACACACAGAAAACTGCATTGTGCTGAGTCGCACCATTGCTCTCTCTAGCTCTGTAATGTCTACTCAGCCTGGCAGCAACAGGCCAGGATTTCTGACAAGGCTCCCACCCAGTTCTAAGTGGACATTCATGGATTGAATCTGAGACCTTTTGCATGCAAAGCAGATACTCTACCACTGAGCTACGGTCCTTGCCCAATATATCCTGTTGGAGATACATTCCTCTTAGGGATGAGGACAGTGAGAGGGCTTTGTTTGCCTTCAGCAGCATGGGCATGTGGCAAGGTTACTGTAGTAGGCAAACAAACCTCAGCAGCTTGGTCTATTTTATGGTTCAGTAACAAAATATGTATTAGGGCGCCATCTGCTGGGGCATTTAGAACACGGTATGGAGAAAATAAAGATACCGGAAGGTGTTATAAAGAACTAATAATAATAATTTTTTAGGTGCAGGCTTTCCAGCCAAGTTTGTTTTGATATGCATGATGTTAGTATTCAGACACTGCCAATCACTTTGCAAAGCATCAAATTGGTATCCTGTATGCATCGCAACATGGTGTATAAATTGTATTCTCATGCTAAAAAGGTTGAAATTGTCTTTTTCATCCTACACTTCCCAGCTATCGGGGCAGGGGGCGGGGTGGGGCGAATCAGCAATGCGGAGCATTGTGGGGCAGAGGCAATGCTTAACAGATGTGAAAAATAATTTCAGCGAGGCAATATAACCTGGTACAAAACATTTAATGTAAAAATAACAGCAAAGCACATTAAACTTAATGACCATTATTAAGAGGGTGCAGTCAACCTTGGTTGATCTCTCAAGGAAATTTCTGAGATGCAGGCCCTTTGGAAGAATGACTAATCTCTGTGGTTAGGTAGTACTGAACTGTTTCTTTCCTGGCCATTTGCTGACTGATTGGGAGTGTGGAGGCATATTTCATGCTGGGTATCGTACTTTTCATGTACAGGTGAACAGCTTTTGAGCTGAAAGCACAAATGATAGTATTCTAGTACTGAATCGCTTAAGCTACAAGGGTAATCAAGTAGTTGCATATGTGGAAAAGCTTGTATTTGTGTCTACGTAGGGAAAGAATGCTTTTTGAAAAAGCGTTTTCCGTCATGGTTGAAAATAGAATTAAGTTTTGAACTCTTAAAGTCTTAGAACTTTGAGATTTGTCTGTGAATGGATCCTGAAGCACAATGAGAAAAGGAATATGAACTGCCATGTCAGAGAACAAGAGCAACTCGTGGGGTAAAATCAGCAAATCAGATCAGCAGGTGGCCAGCATGCAGTGCATGGGAAGAAACAGTTTAGCAGCTTTGCTTCCTACAACAGCTGCAATAAAAACTCTGCTTATGAGAGCATTCAGAGAAGCATTCGTCAGCAGAAAGTTGGATGGAGATTCAAGGGATTGAAGTACGGAGTATCTAGGCCTTATTCCTACAATGCCGTTCACATTTATGACCTGTCTGTGCCTTCACAGTGTGGTTCACAAGTTGTAATCGGCAGTGAGCAAATCATACGCATTCGTGTTTTCAAGTTTTCTGCACGTGTCATTTCCAGCTTCGAGCAAGCTTAGCATTTTAAGGCAAGTGGATATTCTTTCATTCCGAATAGTTAATTGCGTGAGTTCCGAAGATCGGGAAAATTCAGGAGCTGAAGGCATTTCTCCAAGAAGCTGGGTCACATGTTTGGCTTGATCAGATGCTAATGTTGCCAACTGGTGCAACTTTCCCTGATCACATGGATTGACATGAGTCACTGGTATGAGCAGGAAGAGGTGTTTACGCAGCTGACGCACCTTCATTAATTTCTCAGCCCAGAAATTTGCTTCTCCTTTGTCAAACAGATAGTCATTTTCCACCTGCACGTAAAACCAGCAATAATCAGTGTATTGGCAATGGTATGAGATAAACAACCCCTATGCAAAATTGTTCACATGCACCAGAAAAAAATTGCTCAGTCTTAAGCAAGGCATATATGCACATTGACTTGGAAGTAAGCCACTCTGTGGACACTGTATGCGTACCCTTTTTGATGTCAATATCACTTCTCCTGAGAAGTGCAGGAGGCGAACTCGTCTGACTGCCTTCCTTCTCCCCCATGGTGCAGGCAGTATTGCAGCTCTTGTTGCCACATGCATGCATAGTTCAATGGCCACACTGAATCTCATTAAATTGCTCGGGTAAAAATGAAATGGAACTATATCCAGAATTATTGTGCATGAGATGAATTATTATATTTATTTAAATAATGGATATTAAAAGTTGCCTTGAAACATTAAGATATGTCTGCTTGAGATATACAGTGGTACCTCGGTTTAAGAACAGCCCTGTTCACGAACAATTCGGTTTACGAACTCCACAAAACCGGAAGCAGTGTCCTGGTTTGTGAACTTTACCTCGGTCTAAGAACGGAATCCGAGCGTGGAAGGGCACCGGCAGCGGGAGGCCTCATCAGGCAAAGTGCGCCTCGGTTTAAGAACGGCTTTGGTTTAAGAACTGACTTCCGGAACGGATTAAGTTTGTAAACTGAGGTACCACTGTACAGAGTCAGCTTGCTGTTCAGTGAAACCCTACCGTATTTCACAAAGTTAAATGTGCCTAGCAGAATACTGTACAGGCAACTCTTCATTTGGAATTTGAGCAAGGAGGTTTGAAGGGAGTCTGGTAAGTGTTGCTGGTTTTTTAAAGGGTTTTCCAAGGGTTTCCAGAGGGTGTTTGCATCTCCAATGGTGCTTCAAATATACGCAATTTCACTGATTTGCATAGGGCCTCGGAACATAGCCCCCACATAAATGGGGATTTGCTTGTCTTGTATTGTAAAGAGATACGAGTGGGTTTTTAAAAAAATGAAAACGACACGAGTTTGCAAAGAGCAGAAGAGCACCAAACAGATATGCTAACCTACAGCTTATGAAAAGTTTTACGGCATGTTCATGTATCAGGTGTTGGGCACCTCTGTGCTATAATACCTGCACACAGTGAAGAGATAGTGCTGGCTGATTTATTAGAAGTGTGATGGGGATGCTTCAGTTTCAGTAACTTCCAACAGGCTCAAATAAAGGGATTTGATATGGTCTTCAAATTCATCCCGGAGTAACATTGCACGAAGGGCAAATTTTGTGTGTGGATGTTTATTGCACTGCACGTAAAAGGCTGTGGTGTGTAACATCACTGAAGCAGTCAAATACAACACTTCCTGTTTGGACAGAGTGGACAGAGTTGCTCCAGCCAGGAGGACTTCCTGTCATACCTGGTCTGGAGCATCCTCTCCCTGTGTGTGACCAAGTAGATGGGCGTGACCCTACAAAAGGGCTAGCCATGCAGCCATCTTCCTCTTGACTCTTGATGCCTTGTCTACATTTTGCCCTTTTGCTGTCTGCTGGCTCTCAGTCACCAGCACATGGGCTCATCCCTCACAGAGCAGGAACCCACACTTCTCTGAAACTGTAACTACAATATAAAGCCTGCCTTCAGGACCATCCTGTGAAGTGAGTGTAAGTAAACCGCATCATTACTTTTAAAAGAAGACTGTTGTGTCATTATTGTTTTTAAGAGGGAACTAGAGAGGATTTACTAGGAACAATACAATCTAGACAAGCCAGACTGGATTGCTTAATTCAAATGATTCTCTTGAATCTATCAACTAGTTTCCTGCAATGTACAGTGGTATCTCAGGTTACATACGCTTCAGGTTACATAGGCTTCAGGTTACAGACTCCGCTAACCCAGAAATAGTGCTTCAGGTTAAGAAATTTGCTTCAGGATGAGAACAGAAATTGTGCTCTGGCGACGCAGCGGCAGCGGGAGGCCCCATTAGCTAAAGTGGTCTTCAGGTATAGAACAGTTTCAGGTTAAGAACAGACCTCCAGAACGAATTAAGTACTTAACCTGAGGTACCACTGTACAAGGGAATGTGCTCTGCTACTAGCTCACTAGCATGAGTAAGGAAGGATAATATTTAATCAATATATCCTCTCCTACTATCCTCACCATTTCTACAAAGGCTGGTTCAGATGTAAATATGTGTACAAAAAAACCATGGCGTGCCTTGCTTCCTGCTTCCTTGTCCCTTCTGACACACCCAGCTTGGGCGACTCTATCCTAGCATGTTAAAATGTGATGCCCAGAGAAATCGGTTTTATGAACCAAGAGTGGACATTATTCACATTCATAAGTGAGTGGTACAATTACTGAATTGGTATCACATTTTTAAAAAAGCAAACCATCGTTCCGATGTTAACATCTCTTCTGCGTTCCAAAAGCATGCTTCCATGTACCTTGAAAGAAATCCTGCAAAAAGGCAATTGATTGCACTGAAAAACCCAAGCATTCCCAAGCTGTGGTCAAGCACTGGTTAGCTGACTTACGAAGGTTGTAGTCTCTAAATCTTCTTTTCCTAGCAGCCACTCCAGTAAGATTAAGATCCCAGCGCTGGTCTGCTCCCACTGCTGCAGCAGTTCACACAATATAAAAAATGTTAAATCCATGGCCATTGCTGCATTCACCACTTGGAAGCCAAGCTCTGCAGGGAGAAAGTAAAAATGATTCTCTAAGCGTATCCATATAAACATGTATTATGCCAAAAAAGAAAAACACAGGAATTGTTAAGATCATGCAAATCAAAACCCTTTATTTACCTTAAAAAAAAAAACAACCGGCTGCCATTGTTCAACTTTTAAAATATGTTAGAATTTAGTGACAAGGAGTAGGTATTTGATGGCTGACAGATAGTTTCGGGTAACCTTGAAATTATGAGCTGTATGTGATTGTTTTAAATGTTTTTAATGATGAACTGGTTTTAGGTTTTTAAAACTATTTTAATTGTTTCAAACATTTTTATTATTATTATTTATAATTGTGTTTTTTATATATATCACCAATGTGTTTGCCACCCCTCACTCTCTTAGGAGGAAGGGTGGGATATAAATTTAATAAATAAATATACCAAGAGTCATAATAATAAGTTGGCCACTGGGATGGAGAAATTCATTTTAATGCTCAGCTTAGGTGTCATATGCAAGACTTGAATCTCAGAGCCTAGTCTCTTCAGGACAGTTTCAATTTCTGTCCCAAATCATCTTACTCTCGTGGGCAAGCTGTCAGGTGTAGCTAGCAGAAAACACTGATGAATGCTACTTGCATATGCACCTTTCAGCAAGCATAGGCAAAACACCTCAAAT